CCTAGATATATACAAAATTTCAAAATTAGATATTAACCATTAGAAACACTGAATTTGTTATATAATTAAAGTTGGTTATAAATAATCAACAAGAAGTTCTTGTTAGTTTACATTTTATGCTAGTTGGCAATCACTAGTTATTGAAATGATCAATTAATCATTTTTAGATCACCATCGGAAGCACGGAAGCACTGGACTACTGTTTCGTCCTAATACTGGACTCTTGTGCAGAGGGCATCCACTAGCCCCACTTGCGGGAATAGAACTCAGGACCTTCGGTCTCATGCACGAATGCTTAACCTCTGTACCACTGAGTCGGCATCCAACGGTGTTAATGTCTAACACTGATCAGTCTACATTTCTGTGCAACCTTACCGATTGTATTCTGTGGTGCTTTCATGTTTTTAATGGTGGTATGACAATTACTGATTCGCGATTTCAGTGTAAAAAACCATTTCTAAAACTCCATAATGAAAAAAAATTACTAGTCGAGTATAACTTTTATCTTCAGGATACTTTTAGTCATAACAGGTTAGGGGAATGACATGTTTAACCAAAAGTCATGAATAGTAACGTATATTGACAAAGTAATAACTGTTCTTTCTGTCAATTTAATTTCAGTAAAATCCAAAAATGTTCAGCTTTGACGATAAATTTGATATGAATATCTCCTTTGCTTCATTTGCACAACGACTAGAAAGTCTACAGAACGTGAATTAGGCGTATCATCCCGAAGAGGATTATTAAGAACTAGTACTCAGTTTTGGTTGTGAAGCGACTCAAAAAGCCTATTAATGCTCGAAATGATAACGGTATATGTTGTAGTGGATCCATTTTCATGAAGAGAATGAGATTATTTTAATAGAAACATTCATTATCATAACCAATTGTAACAGTGATTGTTTAACTGTACTTTTTGCTTTAAACACTTTTCACGCGCAAACTTCCATTTATGTTGCTGTCATTTTCGCTCCACCATCTCTGTAATTTCGCCCATCTTTTCTGGCGAGATTTCGGTACTCCTTTGATACCACGAAATCTCCAGCAAATGTATTCTTTACTATGGAATAACCTTTCTTCTCTGTAATGGGCTCGTAATTGCTCTAGTGGTGATCATAGTCAGTCGCGACTCGATCACCACTACAACGTATTAACCGAAATTCTAATATGTAGTCAGATTCCATAGGACCATAGAACTAACTTTTACTTTACTCAGCTGATCCACGTCAGTTTGTTTAGTATATTAAACCTTTCTGAGTAACTCATACTAAATTATATCAAAACACAAACTTTATGCCTAATCTGATCGGTTTTAATTTAACAAAGAAAATAAATCATATCATGAGTGCAAGATAACTCAAACGCTACAGCTTGAGATGCTTATTTTAGTCAGTCAGTCAGATGCAACGTAGAACTTTGTACGTAAGTACATCAGTTCATGTTGCCATACCTTATCAGCACAGAGATATGATTGTCAATTCAAATCCGATAGTAGAAGAGGTAGTAAAGGTATTAGAAGTAATTGGAGAGGTTAGGATTAGAAGATATTCAAGAAATATGATTCAATGAGGAAAGTTTAGAAAGTCAAAGCTAGAGGTGTTGAAAAATCCAGAAGATTAGGATTTGAGTGAACACAAAGAATAAATGCACCTGCACCATTGAAAACGGTTTTGGCGAAATAGAGTACTAAGCTATAAAAACAATTATTAGGAGGTGAAAAATAGATTACAGGAAACAATTTAATTTTCACTATCAGATGTGGATATCAAATCATACCAACTTTGTCTAACCTCACTGATGGACCATCAAAACATCAAACCTCGCAATCATAACCCTTCCAAGACTGAATCACTGTTGAAAGATTCGAAAAACTTACCTATTTTGTTGCTACTGCTGCAAAACTGGCACATTTGTTCTTTTACAAACACAGATCTTACGGAAAAGTTACTGAATCCAAGCAAAATAGCTTAGTGATACGGCTTAGTGTAATGTGCCAACCTACAATTTCTTTAGCTTTACATTCCTAAATAGTATACTCTCATTTTGTTTGTTATCATCACTTGCCTGCTTCCAAAGGTATGTCTTGCGAACTTACTCCTCCAATTGTAAATTTTTCCAGTATAATTAGGAAAGTTAGGCCAACTTGAGGAGCTAGCTTCTCCTAAGAAAATGGGTATGAAAAAATGCACAACAATACTAGCTTTTGAACCTCAGAGTAATGTGAGTAACATGAATAATGATAATAATTCATTCTCAAATAACAGTCACTCGATCGTTCAACTTAAACACCTCAGCTGAGTCTCCAGCTGGGAAATCGGAAATCCGGTTGACACTCCAAGTAAGACTAGTAAGCAAAAACGAAACGGGAAAAAGGGTGTGCTAAACTGTTCGGACAGGACACAGCGATGATCTTGTATCTCATGATTGTTGCTAGTTAAAACAAGTGACCCTGCATCTGAATGTGACTTCTTCAAAGGCTGGCTTCATTGTGATTGTACTATTGCAGTATCAAGTTAGTACTACTAGTCCATGTCAAGTCAGCCCTATCCGAGGATCAACTAAATAGGCGACCAGAGAAGCTATAACCTTAGTTCTCACGCCAACAAAATCAGTGGTTGTTGTAATTATACCAGAATCTGTTAACATTACGTAGCATTGAGTAGGCGTTAGGAACAGATTGAAGCAACATAACTCCCAAAACGTTAATACTCAAGCACTGGGACGTTAGACAAAATTCATTTATTTTCTTCAATATTTTAGTGTCAAGGAGTGGCCTACTGGAAATTGAAGCCGTATTTGATAAACACCAGCGGGCAGATACTGTACAACAGCTAGAATGAGCAGTAACATGGTCAAACCGTATCACCTGTGTAAGGACCAAAATCTAGTGGTAGGTGAACACATTGAATTAGAGCTTACTTCATATTCGGCTTACATTTCAGAGGAAAACATACTGACGACTCAGTGACCTTCGGTTTGAAAATGCTCTTAAACCTGAGTCAGAAATGAAAAGGGTGTTCTGTAAGAGATGCTACCAAAGGTTAGTTACTGCCCAATTACCAACCATCATGGTGATTACAGGAATGCGTAAGCTGGTGTGTAGTAGTTGAGACTTCGCTCGTAGACACAATATAATAATAATGGAAATAATAAATTATTCCCAGCAACCGGGAGTTACGTCAGTCATGCTGATCTACAGGTAAGACCAAGTTGTTAAACATGATGCGGGATATTCTACAGTAAACCGAATTACATAGTCTAACTAGGGCACTCTGAAGAAACAGAACCAGGATATACGGTGTAAAATATTGGGCTAGCGGTTGGTGTTTGGAAAATTCTGAAAATGTATAACCATGACGTATGCAGCAACGCAGATTTTGCCTACATACAAACATGGCATTCCGAAGGTCAGCTATTTCCTCCTTTACACCTCATAACCTTTACATCTTTTCAGATAGTTCCTACATAACCAGCCAACTCAGTTTAATCAGTTTTTAAAAGAACCCACGAATGGATACTGCTATGTAGCACCAGTTAATAAGACAGACAAATAACTTTCTCTATAGAAACATGTAAGGACTACCATATAGGCTGCAAGTTATGTACTCTCAGTTGGGTTTGAAGATCATGATAACTGCTATCGACACTAGAAAATGCGAAATGAGTTTTCCAAGCATGGCTGTGCATGAATGAGATAGAGTACAAAAACAGTTGCAACAGGGAAATTCTGAGGCAGCCATTTCAATGATATAATATCTTACAGTACCGAACTAACCGAAGTGACGGAATTATACTGCTCCAACGGAAATGATTGGAAGGACCTGTTGACAACTAACAAGTAACCGTGATGCGGTCATGTTCAATATGATCACAAACGAAGTAGTTTGGAGAGATAATGACACTAGGGAGGACCATGAGAAAGCATCTTCTACGTTACCTAAGTGTTAAAAAAGTGGTAGGGGCTAACAGTATTTAATCACTGGGGGATAGAATGAGACACTAGTTAGAAAGCTTCTCTCGGGACGAACCCACCTTAAAGTATATAAACTACATGTTACTTTATTTGAATTCAGATTTTACTGTGTCGAAACCCTAGCTTGCAAACGCCTAGACGAAGAAAGATCAGCGGACTTTCACAATTTTTAGGGAAGAAAACATTATGACAAACGACTTGTATGTGGCTTAAATTCTTCCAAGGCTTTATCAGACAGAGTTGTTAAGGCTTAAGAATGTATAAACATTAAGTTATTGAAGTAAAATGATTGTTCTGGCAGTTTTGTTGATGATTGGTTGGTGGAAAATCAAGTGGACATCAAAATAAAAAAAGATACAAGAAAATTCTGCACCAGATAAATTGTGGTAGCTTAACTTGAACCTGCTTCTTTAAGAATGGTCCTCGGTTTCGACATTGTGTCTTACCTTCTAAAATTCATTGATAAATTGGTAATAATCTACTGATCCCGAACTATAGTGTTATTTTAAACAACTCTGGAGAATCTTTGTCTAACTTCCCAACATCCTGATAGCGTTTGAGCAAAGTGACTGCCGCATAATGACATCAGGACAGTTAGTTCATTCCGTTCTCATATCCTGAGATATGCACTTATTACATCTCTTTCTAGAAAAATCTAAGCTTCAGATCTCGAAATAGCCTTCATATCAAACGCAATGACAAGATGATGATATTTTCAAGGTACGATTAATAGAAAGCAAGGAGGCTTGTTTTAAACGTCACGGACTCGCCGCTGGATATGGATTTATTCTGAAAGAACGAAGAAATGGTTTCTATATCTGTATGTAAATGAAACAATCACTAATGAATATTGATAGCAAAGGAAAGATAATTGTTTGCCGTCTCTTTATTCTGTTGCTTCATTCAACAAATGTAATACCACACGTGAAGCAGTCAAAGATAATTTCGATATTTGTAAAGTTTTCAAACTTCTAACCGACCCTCATACCGTAAGACTACTCAGTTAACATACATCCTTTAGGATTTTATGTATGAAAGACATAAAATAGCACTGAGAAATCTGAAAAATGCAAACCTGCTGGGAATCGTATCCTTTTGAACCAGAGTTTTTTGATTTATTTGTAGTAGATTTTCGATTTGCGTCCATTTTAATTTATTATTTGAGTATTTGTATTTGTCAGGATTTCGCATGTTTCACACTACTTTTATGATGTTCTTGAGAGATGGGTTATCCTAGATGTGATTCCAATGTCCAGTATCTTTTCCACGAGCAAGAATAAACAGCTTGATTCTTTTGCGCTCGCTTCTTGTTCGCCTAGTGTACTGTTCCGGATATTTGATAGTTTTCAATGTTTAGTAGTATAGCCCTTTGGTCGCCCTAATTCTAGTCAGTTGACAGTTATATCTGGACTTGTATGTTCTGTAGTTTGAGTGATTGAGTTTGTCTCAGAGTAAATAGACTTCTAGTCCATATTATCTGGTTAAATAGCAGTTAGTCGCAGTGCGGAAGATAATGAGGATGAAATTTCAATACCGTTGACAAGATTTTAGAACAAAAAATAGTACATGATTCAATTAACTGGCAGAATATACTATGTGAGAAAAGTAAAGTTTAAGGATAAAATAAGAAATAGAGACGATAATAAACGAGATGAAATCAGTTGTTTATATGAGAAATTGATAGTGATCACAATAAGCTAGTCAGCAGACACAGCTGATTCAATTAGGAAATGATAATCTATATGTGAGAATGTCAACAGTCAGAATATAATTCGTTAATTCTAGGTCAGTGAAACTATTTATTGTATCCCTCTTAATCCACTATTCTGAGATATGAATAAATGTGAGCTTCTAAGGTTCCAACTTACCCTTAATTTATTCAGCGATTGGTTACGTTGATTCTATTGCTCCTTAGTAATATGAAGATTAAGCCTACTATGGCTAATCTTCTTCCTTGAAACACTGTTGAGATCGTAGAAATAATCTTAGTTAATATTGTTTAAAGTTTGTTCAGCAGCTCAGCTTTTAATATTTAAGGACAGGGCAACTACCTGTAAGCGATGCTTGAGTTTTGAGCAGAATATTTCTGTGTATAGTCTTCTGAATATCTTAGCATCTATTTAGCTGAAAGGTCAAACAACTAGTCAGATAGTTCTATTCTATTAACATGACTTTTAGAATTATCGTGATATTAGAATCTTAAACTAAAAAGGTCAAACCGTTACGTTACATTTTAAGAATCTAGGACCTTCAGTTCTACGAGCGAATGCTTAACCTCTAGAGCACTGAGTCGGCATCCAACAGTGTTTCAACCAATCCTAGATATTTAGTGACCATCACCCATTGTGTTCAGTGGGTCACTGCCTCACACTCTAACACTGATCGATCCATGGTTTCATCGCAACTTAACAATCTCCACAAGCCTATGATAAAATCATTTTCAATGACAAATCTGTAATTATATTGAGTGTAACAATTTGGCATCAGACACTTAACTGACATCCCAACGAGTAGAAATTTGTATTTCTAAACCTTTTGTGACCTCGGTATTCATACCTATGCATTAGAGATTTTGATCTTTGAAGAAGCCAACAGATTACTGCTTCAAGAAAGTCACACAGGATTCTTTTTTCAATAGTTCATGATGTGTTTACTTCGTAGTTTCCAGGCCTAATCATTGACGATGAAAATCTGGGAATGATACTGAAATCTCTTGCTTCAAATCTCAATCTTCTACAACCTTCTTCTTTCATATGTAGGTAACATCACTATAAAAGCTAGGTATTTGTAGCAAAAGCCATCATACCGCATTACGATTGATAGTTCGACTTTACCTTCTGATCTTAGTTTGACAGCTTTTGATCTTACTAATCTCAAATCCACTTACCCAGCATCTTAAGACCTTAATGAAACAAACTTTTGATCCAATCACATTTTTATTATCCCACAAGTATCTGTTATTTGAATATGAGATATTATACAGGAGACATTAAACATTGGTTGGTGAAATTTCTTTTTAAATGATGATTGCTAATTTCTTCTTAACACATTACTTGAAAATATAATAATAATAAATTGATTTCTATGTAGAAAATACACGATCTTGTATATTATCAAAATATTTTAACAATATGCACTGAACGTGTTTCACATCTACCAGATGTATACGAACAAATGCTTCTTGAATTAATCCAGCTATGCAATAAATCATTTTTGAAAACTCTAAGTTCAGATGAAACAAATTATTTTGAGATAGCTGTGAATTTTTGGAATCATTTTGGTTGGTTCATCATTGAATTTAAACAAATTAATTTTTTATTCAATATATAGGATATATTTTACAATTGAAAAATATTGAACTTTGTACAGCTGTTTGTTGTGCATTAGAACAATTCTATTTCAGGGAGAATCAATTGAATAATGATTTAGCTGAAGGTGAATAATTCTTTTAAATATTTTAATGCATGAAATAATTTTATCTTATTTTCATTGGGACCATGAATTAATGTACGTTGGAACACCGTTAGAAAGAAACCTGGATGCACTGGACGGCCATTTTTCCTGTGTGTGTGTGTGGTCCACCAGCAGTGCGTATCTACAACCAGACAAGTGGAAATCGAACGTAGAATCCTTAGTCTCACGAATGAATGCTTAACCTGTAGATCACTTAGTCGACATCCAACAGTATTAATGTCTTACTTGAATCAATCCACGATATTATACAACCATCATCCATTGTGTTTGTAGGGCAATTACCTCACATCTGACATGCTTGAACTTTGCTAGTCATAGCGTGTCACTAGAACTCCAGTAATTCGCTCACGTAGCTCGTCACTACTGAGCATATGATAATTTTGATTGCAGGGTTGTGGAGATTGTTGCGTTTGATTGAAATAATGAATCAACCAATTATAGACCTAATGTTAGATTTCCATGTGTGATTGCGCACTTCTGATGAATCCCGAACTAGGACGAAACGGTCATCCAGTGCTACTAGGTTTCTAATGTTAGTCTAGCACTAATTAAATTTGTGATTTAAATGAAACTCAACAATCTCCACAACCCTTTAATGAAAACAATCTCATTTTGTTTTAACTACTGACAATATAAAATTAAACATATTTCAAACTACCTGGATTTAATTCATAATTATAACCGATTTAAAATTTCATGAAATATAATGTAACTTAGATCACCAATCGATCTAAGATAGATAAATTCAAAAGTACTGGACTGTAGTTTCATCTTAGTTGATGACTCTTCAACTGTACAAATTCACAGCCCTGCTATCGGCAGTCGAATCTAGAACATTTGTTTTCGCCTGTAAACTCTTCGCCTAACTTATATCCAATGTAATTAAATTCTTGCTAGAAATCTGAATATGTAAAGGATATATCCCTTCAAAACGATAGATGATCGCGCAATACCATTGTAGTACAATATCTATCATATGTGAATACAGTTTCTTATTGATTCTAATCAATTACAGTTTAGTCATATTTATTTCAACAACTATATCAACAATCTTTTTTCATGACTGGAATGTAGAAATCTCTCCACAGATCATGCTGGTATATAATAAATGTATGTTTGCTCATGACTTGTTTCAAGATTGATTGACAGGTGTTCTGCTATAGATTTCTAACTGATGGAATAAATAAGCGAACAGTAAATTATTGATGATTATTAGTACTTACTTATGCCTGTTACCCCTTGTAAAATATCGGCCTCAGACCAGCATTCTCGGGTCTTTCAGTTATACCCGATTTCTGCTCATTCTTTTGATGTCTGCTTTGGATTCTCGACGTAATTTGTTCCTTGGTCTTCCTCCTTTCGTTTGGTTAGCGTTTTTTTTTTTACAGCGAGCTGTTTTTTTACCGAGTGAGTTCGCTAACCCCATGCCCAACTCTCCTTCGTCATTCGAGCGTGAGGCGGGGTTTAACCCCAGAAGGGCTTCAGGTGGAGTTGTTGAATATTATTAGAGCACCATATAACAAATCACCTGGATTAAAAAATTTGAACAACGGGATTCCTACTTATTGTGTAGTCACTACGAGAATTTCAAGAACTGAGCTAGATCCTTACTAGGTTTGGGAATAGACACTACATACAAATCTCTCGTATCACAAAATCAAATCGTCTTCTAATTGCCTAACAGAGATCATTTCTTGATATAAACTCAAAGAGAAAACAATATACATGTAGATTCATTTATCAGAACTCTCCTTTATTCCATTTCATTGTCTGACTTTTGTTTTCTTCCCCAATTTCAGAATACAAAGTACAACCAACTACAAAAAAATTCAATCAGAAAGTTGTATGTCATAGTGATATCATTGAATCTTTATTAAAAGTAAGTTGCATTTTTTTTAAAAAATTTTTATTTTTATTTTCTATACAATACTACTCATTTTTTTCTCTCATTTATATTATTAGTGTTACTGTGAATTAGATCAAAGCGAAAATCTTTATTCAACATTACTGAGATTAATGGATAAATTAACAAAACATTCTGGTAATGTTATAATTATTTATTTATTGATTTTTTAAAAAAAAATATGTTAGAAATTTGTTCAAATAAAATCGTATCAAAATTAGGCGCTCAATTCATTTGTAATCGATTAGCGTTGCCAATTTTATCAAATGAAATGATATCACGATCTATATCAATTCTATGGAATTTAATTGATAATATAACCAATGATACAATGAAAATAGATTGGGTGAAACAAATTGGAAGTGAAGTGAGTAAAATGCATTAATCCGTTTTTATTGAACAAATTGTTAATGATTTACAATCATCATCAATAGTAGTGGTAGTTAAGAAGTAAAATGAAATTTGAAATGTTCTCTAAATGCCTTGGTACGATCAAGAGTAGAGACAGTCGGTTGTCCCGCTACAAATCCTCTCATATGGCTATTGGTATATAGCCACTATGAGGGAAGTCCTACTCACCGCCTACTTGTAACGCAAATGCTGTTTAGTCTCCTTAATCGGGTTAGTGGTTACTTTCGTGGATTCACCTGAGAAAGCTGAAGAACCTTTATTCCAAACCACTACTGTACATGGATTTCATGATTCTGATGGAACGAATGGCGTATGAAGTTTCTGTCGGTCATCGGCTATTATGAGACTGCATCACCTAAAGCATCTTAATCGCCTTAAGGATTAGACTTTTGAGTTAAAGGCTAAAAGGGTAGCCCCATCCCCACTACTTTTTCCGGTTTGGGTAGCCCGACAGTATCTCAGCTCATTCATAAATTCAATAATTTGTGTGACGCATAAATATTTAGGTGCCCCTTTGAACCAATGTATTATGCATTTCATTTAAGTAAAAGAAAATATCAGACAACGTTTGTGATAAACTTGACTGCGATTATTTTCATTTTGTTTCAATCTACAAAAAATACATAGTATTCACTATTTCTGCTTTAGTTATTGAGTAATGTATTAAATTATAATGTAATTATTATTTAACCTTTTTAATATGCAACGAATCGTTAACTCATATGAATAGAAAATAATTGAACTTACTGAATGCAAATACACTTTTTAAATAATGAAAACGTTACGTAAATTCTTAACTATAAACTTTAATCATTTCAGTTGAAAAGTACAATTATGCTACTCTACAAAAACGGATTGTATTGTATATTTTATTATAAATCCACTGGTAATAATGTAGAGTGTCAATTTCGACGTGTTCTTAACTTTCGTAATTAGCTCGTCTAGACAATTGTTACAAAGTAGCGTTTGACGGTTATATATCAGAAGGTGAACTCGTAGTGTTGAATACACACCACAAAAGGAAGTGGAGAAGCAGCGAATAGAACGAATTAAGTGACGTGAATTGGAGAAGGCTGTTGAGCCAACTCCTAGAGATAGAGCATGACTAAGAATATATAGTCAGACAAAAATAAGACAGATATGCAACAAGCAAAATAGGCATGCACATATGAATAGAAGCGACGAATGATTGACAAGGTAAAAAGACAAGAGGAACCAGTCACGTGAGCTCATACAAACCAAACAATGATAAGAACGAATGGTACATGTAAATCGTTGCTATACAAATGTCTTGGTTAAATAAATTAATCGAAAGGGCTAAACCAAATTAAATATATGCGAACCCGAATATATGTGGAGGCACTACAATAATATGCATGAATAAGTGTTTTAAAAGACAACCACGAACGGAGGGTATGTAATGGTTCTTCTTAAATCCTTATAAGTCTCTTCTATTCATACCCTAATCTTCTCCATTACTGCTAATACTTCTACTATCGCTACCACTATTAGATTTGAACTGACAATGGCGTCTCTGCGCTAATGCGGTATGGCAAACCGGACTGATATACGTACGTACGAAGTTCTACGTTGTAACTAACTGACTGACCATCAACTCTTAGTAATACACAAAAATGAATATGAAATATTTAGCAAAAAAATGGGATTTGAAATAATCAATTATGTCGTTTTTTGGTTCAGTGTATTATAATATGAATCGGTATCGACTGAACATAGAAAAGAATTTTGTTTCTTTGATAAACCTTATTTGTATGCTATAGATTCATTGTTAATGCTTACAAGTAGAGATTTGAAAACAAATCTGCAAAAGAGAAGTAGATTTTGCATAGATCTCATCAATAATCCAACTCGAATAAATTAACTGAATTTAGAGATTCCATGTCAACTCAATCAGATACCAGATGCTAACCTAGTAGTTCTTACGCTTAAACATTCATCCAGGGATTTCAGTTACTTACTTACTTGCGCCTGTTACCCCCCAATGGAGCATAGGCCGCCCGACAGTTATCTTCAACCAACTCTGTCCTCCGCTTCCCTCTCCAGTTCTGTCCAATGTTTGTTCATTCCTCTCATATCTTTCTTTATTTCTCGGCGTAATGTGTTCCTTTGCCTTCCTCTTTTCCTTTTGCCTTGAGGGTTCCATGTGAGGGCTTGTCTCGTGACGCAGTTAGGTGCTTTCCGTAATGTGTGTCCTATCCACTTCCACCGCTTCTTCCTGATTTCCTCCTCCACTGGAATCTGGTTTGTTCTCTCCCACAGTTCGTTGTTGCTGATGGTGTCTGGCCAACGTATCCGAAGTGTTTTGCGTAGACAACTGTTAATAAATACTTGTATCTTCTGGATGATGGCTTTGGTAGTTCTCCATGTTTCCGCTCCATACAGTAGAACTGTCTTGATATTTGTATTGAAAATCCTGATTTTGGTTTTTATTGAAAGTTGTTTGGAGTTCCAGATATTTTTCAATTGTAGAAATGCAGCCCTTGCTTTGCCGATCCGCGTCCTCACATCTGATCGGATCCACCTTGATTGTCGATGATGCTGCCACGATATGTAAAGGTGTTAACGTCCTCTAAGGCATCTCCATCAAGAGTGATTTGATTGGTGCATGTTGTGTTGCATCGGAGAATTTTGCTTTTTCTTTTATGTATGTTGATACCTACTGCTGCAGCGACTGCTGCTACACTGGTCGTCTTCTCTTGCATTTGTTGTTGCATGTGCGATAAAAGAGCCAGATCATCTATCTGCATCCTGGCTGTCCATTTGATACCATGCTTTCCTCCAGATGTCGACGTCTTCATAATGCAGTCGATCACCAGATATTTCAGTTACTTGAGTCTAATTCTTGATGAGGCTATAGATCTTTACAGTTGATGAATTCTGCAATCTGTCCATTGCTCTTTGATTTACAATACTTCTCAAGATGAAATCAATCGGCAACAAATAAACACCTTTTACTTAAGCATATTTTAAATTCAGTTGAGTAAATAAATCTGACATTCAACTATCAACGTGTTTCATTTTGTTTTCAACTAGTTAATGACAGAAAACTACCCTTTTAGTAAATCGTTCTGAAGTATTTCTGTATTTCAACAAGAAATCTCTAATTATCTAAACTTACAGATGTAGATTTTCGACTTTTTTCTTAAAAATCAAACAAACTGAATAACTTCCATTTGTAGTGGTTCATGTTCAGTCAGTAGTGTTGTGTCTTATATACACTAGCGGAGCATTCAGAAAAGTATGAGTGGGCAGAAGAGTTGATCCGATAATCCTAGCAAGTACCCAAAATGCATTTACATTTTTTGAGAATAGCGATAAACAACAACCAGTGACCATGTAAGCTTCAGGTTAAGAGAATATGACAAGCAAAACAAGGAGCGTAATACGATCATAAACTTTGCATTAGTACAAAGATTTCTTGTATTCAGACGTAGCCACTATAATTAAATATTAGATTTATGATAAAGTAATTTGTTCATCGATATTCTAAATGTTTTTTTTGAGTAACTTACATAATTTACGGTAGACAAATTTCCTTCATACTTGAATTGCTGTTCTACATGTTCTGTGGCGGTACCGTAATCAATGAAGTTTATCTGAAGTACGGTTATTGCTAGTTGAAAACTTCTCCCAATACCTCAAACCAATCATGTGTATTCAAAATAGTTCAGTACAACTTTTGCATGTAACATTATTATGACTTTTAATCAAAAAATAATTATCTGTTTTTCAAAACCTTAAATATTTCACTTACAACCGTTAATTAACGGCGCCAATTTTAAACATCAATGTGTGAAGATCTAACAATCTTTCACGTATGTATAAAATACAGTTTCATATTTTAATGAATATTACATGGGATGGGACAGTCAACAGGTTTCTTCTAGTGTCATCCGAGTCAGTAATCTTTGGAGTACAACTATCGGGAGGTTGTGAGGATTATCGGTATGCAATTGGGAAGCCAATTGTGCAATATTGCGAGCTAACTGAAGTCAAGGATGTTAGACTATTAGATGTCTACTAAGCAGACTAAAAGTTAGGCACTCGTTATGAAACCTAAAGTCCCTGAGTTCGACCCTAAATGAGAAGGAATTATTCATGTAATGAACCAGTCAGAAGTGGTTAAATGAGAGGGTCACTCGATGAAAGTAAGAAATGTCCTAAAGGACGAATGCACATTATTGGTCAAGAAATTGATCGGTTTTCTAAGGAGGAGAAGTGTATATGCATGAATAAGTATTTATATATATGATTCAGTTGCAAAATAGATTTTCTCTTGAACCCTTCATTTGCCTCTTAATTAGTCAACTTTGGGGTAGGGTTAGCACGTATCACGTTCAGATCTAGAACAACGCACCACAGCATAACAAATATACTAGGACAAATCAGCTGACTAACATTTCCTGAATTTGAATGCAAACCTAGGTATAGTCAGACAGTCGGTGTTTTGAACTGTATAATGTTAAGAGCGCTTATGTTCGCTATGAGATTTAATCCCTTATCTTTGAAGAAATAAATTATTTTAGTAGTATATAGATATATTACTGTTTTTCCATTATTAAACATTTGTGTTTCGTATAAAATTTAAAAGGATTGTCTACTGAAACTTCGTGATATATTTTTTACATTATTGGCACAAAGTCATTCAAAATTTTGTCGTCATTTACGTAATGATGTATTGACAATAATTTTGTTGATTGTAAAATATGCCAATATCTATGGACTATTAAAAGAAATACATATTGTACAATCTGGTTTAATACGTAGACTAGTACATTTATTAACATTTGATGAATGTAAGTTTTTTGTTTTTCTCAATTTGTTATTTGTTTATTTCAATGGTTTATTAATTTGGCGGTGAAAATTAAAATTTAAGGCAAACTGTGTGTGAAGGCGGTGATAAGAAGCCAAATAATTTTGCAGAGAGACACAAGTAAAAAATCATTGAGTGATCAAACCTGGAATCTGTAATTAGGAAACGTTTATTATTAACTGCACTAAATCAAGAAATATATGCCAATAGAGTTAAAATAGGTTGAAAATTGAGGAATTTGAAAATATTCAGCTCAATTTTTCTAATTATTATTTATATCTCAGTAGTATAATGATAAATGAATCAGTTTGCATTATAGGGTTGTGGAGATTGTTGAGTTATTCTAATAAAATCACGAATCGATCAATGTCGATCACCATTAGAAACCTGGAAACACAGTTCTGAGCAACCTCATTCACTGTCTTTGGTGGGCACTGCTTCCTACTTGAACAGGATTGAACTCAACTGACCACGATTTCACACTACAACTTGCAGGAACTTCCTCACGAAGATAGTCACTAGTGAGCGCATGATAATTTGCATGGATTGATTGAAGTTAGACATTAATACCGTTGGATGCAAGCCCAGTGCTCTAAAGGTCAGGCGTCGGCGCACAATACCAAAGGTCCTGAATTCGAATCCTACACACTGTTGATGAGTCCCATACCAAGACGAAACGGCTATCCATTGCTTCCTGGTTTCTAACGGTGGTCGGACATTGATCGATTCATGATTTTAGTCAAATAAATAAATAAATAACTGTATGACTGCATTGGTTTATTACTCTTAATGTAAGCTTTCAGCAGATCTGTTTTCAGTCGCTGAATGTTTTCCAATTCCGTTATGTCACACACAGTTCCCTTAATCATCTTGAAGAGAGAAAGAGAGAGATAGCAAGAACAAAGATTTAAGTAGAATAAGATGAATTCATTCTTATTTTGTTTGGTTCTTGACAGTTGCTTACTACTTACAATATTTTCAAAATTATATTTACAAACTACGTTTAAATTACTGACATGAAAGAGTTTAGTTAAAAGTTACTACGATTTCACGACAGTATAACAAGGGTGTAAGTGATTCTAATAGACTGAATAAACTATTGTAAATATACACCTTGTGTAAGAGAATATACTACAATATTGATAATAGCTAAAGTTCAGAGGGCTAACGACAAGTGGTCACGTAATTAGTAAACGCCGATCCTAAGTAAGAATAATATAAGTAAAGCTCAATTCGTGAAAATAAGATTGCTAATCTATAAGACATTTGAAATAGATAATAGACGTAATGATGTGATTAGGTGCAAATAAGAGTTAAACAGAATTTAATGATATAATGAACGAACGTAAAGACACTTTGAACACATAATTCAGGTTTCAGATACATGGTAACAACGACTTCAACGAACTTCATTAAACGTATGTTTGGCTGTTTATCTACTATTTGCTCCCCCATCTAACACTTATAGTTTGATTATGTTTCATGAACGATTTCTGTATTTGTCAAACATCTTAGGTAAGATATTTCACAATTGAAGGAGAAAGAACTTGATAGTTACCAATCTTGACTATATATCAGGATAAGTTTTGATTACTAATTAACTGACTAGCCAATTCATAATTGATGTATTTGGTTTGGGCCCTTATTTCAAATATGAAGGTCACTGGTACTAGCCAACTGCTCAAACTAGATTATGTATGGTAGAATTCAAACCAACTAACTTATAATGACTGATAGTTGATAGCTTTAACCATTGAACAACTAGTCATCATGGATGATTCAATATTTTCAATAGTATGAAAGTGTTAAGTATGACAGAATACATTGTTCAATGTCCATTGTTATCTTCATCAAAAAAAAATCATTATTAAGTAGAAACAAATTACATAATTAAATTTTTATTTGAAATCATCAATCAATCATTGTTAAACCACCATTAGAAACCTGGAAGCACTGGACGGCCCAATTGGTCCTAGTATGGGACTCATCAGCAGTGCACATCCACGACTCCTACACCTCACAGGATTTGAACAATGATGGATTAATGATTTCAAATGTGTAAAAACACAAATCTCCATAGCTCTAACTGAAAATAAATTTTTATTCTTTACATTCTTCTATGATACACATTTTTTTATTTTAAATTTTTTTTTAGTCAAATGTATGAATCCATTATTTAAAAATTTGAAATTATTACCGAATGATGAAAATTTCGATATGAAACGTTTGATTATTTCAATATTTGTTGAATTATGCCATGACTCATCAGCAATTTATGTGAGTTTCATTTCTATTAATGATGTGATTGTTTTTTTCAAGAAATCTATAATATATTGTGATTTTAAAAAGAATGATTTAATGTTTTAATAAATTATGAATAAAATACTAATTCCTTTATATTCTTGAATATTGATCATCTAAAATTTGTCAATTGAATCAAACCGATGAACATTGATAACACATTATTGAAACACACTGTTTATGATATAATGAATCGGTCAATGTTAGACCAACATCAGAAACACAGAAATATGAAAATTCCATTTCGTCCAAGTAAGAATAGTGTGAATCCACGACTACGTAACTGAGAATCGCACCCGGAATCCTCAGTCTCATGAACAAACGCATGACCTCTAAACCAATAAAATGCACTCCACTGGTGTTTATGTCCTACCTGAGTCAGTCCACGATATTGCATGAGCCCCTGTGGGGTTGCTGCCGGTCCCAAGCCTGGATAATGGAAGAGGGTTGGTCATAAGGTTATCCATCCCATCCGAAATTCTTCTTAGTTTACATTATGAACTAACTCAAATTAGTTAACCTTGGAAATTGAGAAATAGGAGTTTTATTTCAGCATGAGATTACATCATTCTGAAAAGAATAAACAACTGAACAAAATAGCATGTGAATTCATTTTATTTCGCTACGTTCTGATTGACTACTTATAAACTACTTATAAATAATTATCAGTATGCTAACTTTATAATAATTACAATTTTGGAATATAATAGATTGTAAGCAGATGATGCGAAACCAGGAAAATAGCATTAATTCATACTAAACTGCACAGTTTTATTGTTCTTGATCTTATAAGGTAGCAGGAATTCTCATCATCAGTGTACATCCGAAACCCGAACGGTGATCGAACTTGGGAATTTTAGGTTTCTTTCCGAACGGCTAATTTTTTGACAACCGAGTAACCTCACTCAGTTGTTTAAATTTCTAAGTATAGTTAGTTCGTTGAATAGGATTCCTATAATAGAAGAAAAGCAGCTATTCATTGCTTCCCTGCTTTCAATTGTAGTCAGTTTGTAGAATCGGCGACATGTAGTAATCACCACAAACCTCTAAATGATCTCAAGAGATAGTCCTGGAACTCTAATGAGAAACCATGAATAATGGAACTTAAATGTGTCGGGTTTGAGAAAGTCATTGGCTGAAGACAATAGGGGATGAACATATAAAATCTCAGATAGATTCTAGTTAGTCATGTTTAATATTGGATTGCAGTGCAATAGTCTGGAGGTTAGGTTTTAGCAGACGAGTCTTATGGTCAGAAGTTCGATTCATTTTGATAGTCATTGTCAAACTTAATAGCTAAAATTGATACTTAAGCATTAAGAAAGAGATTAGGATCTTGATTTCCGTGTTGAAGATTAGGTTTTGGGATTTTGAATAAAGTTAATGATTAGTTTTTGTATATTCAAGTCCTAAATTCCGCATCCGAATCCTAATCATCTATTATAGCTCTAACCTTAACAATTTAAACTGTATATCATGCTTTTAAAGACTGAATCCTATTATTATCTATAATCACAAATATCCAAAAATGTCTATATCAATACAAATAATAACCAGCATTCGATATACAACACTCTGGTAACATGAAATCGACTCGCTCATTCCTAATTAACTTCTTGTTACACAATTCAAGTTTAATTCCTATTGATGTTTAAGATTGTAAATGATCTGTCTCTTCGGTGTAAATGCATCCTATGAGGATCGCTACATTGCATAAGTAAATGGCTATTTGGACTCAGCTAGGTGGGCAAAACTGTGGCGTCTGAAGCGTTCGGTACTGAGTTCGAGTCCCGGTGTGAACATCAGCTCTCAGATGTACGTACAGATGAGTCCGAAAACGGCGAGAAACAAATTTCTCGGATCCCACTGCTAACTACATTCTATCCATTCTATATAAAAAATTTCAGTTTGTTTGTTTTGATTTTTTGGTAAAATCGAGATACTGAATTTCAGAATTTTGGAGACCTTTGCTTTTGCACATTGAACTCATGAGTGAATCATTGTTAAACAACCATTAGAAACCTAGAAGCACCGGACAGTCGTTCCGTCCTAGCATGGGACTCATCAGCAGTGCACATTCATGACTGCTGCTACTCGCTGGATTCGAACCCAGGGCTTTCGGTCTCGCACGTCAACCCCAAACCTCTGTACCACTGAGCAGGTATTTAACGAAGTTAATGTCTAACGGTGATCACTGATCACCCATTTTCCTCAGTAGTTACTGCCTACATCTTATCGGGGTTGAACTCCACTGGTCACGTCTCCTCACTGGAACTCTGAGAATTTCCTCACGACTTTAGTTACTAATGAGCACAAGTTTTTTCATTTTGCATTAATTTTCACATGAATTATTTTGTTTACTTTAGACTATGTCTACATCAGGTTTAATTAAAAGTTTATTTCAATGGATATGTCCAATTATTCAACCGAATTCACCACAATATGAACAAATGAAAATCGAACAAAAACCCAATCAACAAACACAATTATTTAATGCAACAGAATATACTACTGTAACTAATACAAGTAATATAATATCACCATGTTTACCTGCAAAAAATTGTAATTCCATTGCATCAGAGAATAATGCTACCGTTGAGTGTGATAACAATCAGAATAATAGTAATAATCGCAGTCAAACACTATCAGTTAACAAATTATCGGAAAATGTCAATCTGAAAAAGGATAATTTAAAAATGAAACAAAAAAGTTTATCAAATCCTACAATGAAACAACAATCCTTCGATTTATATCAATATCCGAATAATCAATATTCTAGCGGAAATAAACAAGAAATTGATTTTCTATGTAAATGGCCACAAGCCTATTTAGAAGAATTACACTTGTATATGCTTGATTCACTGACTACATTAGCACCGTATTTATTGAATGATTGTGTCACTTATGGAATTCCATCAAGATTAATAATTTTATTACAATGGTGTATAAGTCCAGGTAAGTTGTCTAGTTACTTACTTATTTTTACTTATTTGGTTACTTGGTTAACCACAACATGCCTGCTGCACATGCACGCCGCTGCATTTTAAGCAGCACAAGGATTCGCACAAGAGTCAATATTGCTGCGATCATTCCTGCCTCATTCGGGAACGTACATGTTGTCTAGAGATTGGTCTGCAGCAGACAAGTGGACGTCTAAAAAGCACACGCACGAGCAGTGGCCCTCGTTCAGGCACTTATGAATAGACAAGATTGCTCCAACCAATCCACTACCCACAATCCTCAATCGGCAAGGGCGGCAAGGTGGTCTTACCCAGCTAGACCTGGAGCCCTGAACAGATTACCGAGCTACACAGCAGTACACTAACCAGCAGCCGTTCCAACCGTCTGGTCTCCAAATGCCTTGAGCTGATGCGATCGACCGGAGCCCTCAGACCCCACATGAAGCTAAAGAGCGAGTTTGTCCCACAAGGTCAGCCAAAACGTACACCCTCTCATGCTTACTTTAATTACGCCTGTTACCCTAAATGGAGCATAGGCCGCCGACTAATTATTTATTCAATAAGAAATGATCTGGATCAATACAATAAATCGTACTATTCATTGACAGATATGAGTGAGAGTGAAATCATGGATTGATTAATGTAAGAAGACCACAATGTTAAGACTCCTCAACAGTGTTTATCTCGGCAATTGGATGCATAACCCTATGATGAAAATTATCATATGTTAACTAGTGATTGGATTTATGAAGGAATTCTAGGAGTTCTAGTAAGAAGCTATAACCAGTAAAGTTCAATCATGTCAGGTGTGATGCAGTTACCCAACGAAGTCAATGCGTGATGGCCACACAATATCGTGGATTGATCCAGGTAGGACATTAACACCATTGGAGTGCAGTTTATTTGTTTAGAAGTTAAGCGTTCGTTCATGAGACTGAAGATTCTGGGTTCGATTCTCACTTGGATGGTCGTGGATGCCCACCGCCACTGATGAATCCCACACTAGGACTAAACGGCAGTTCAAAGCTCAAATATTTACAATGATAATTTAACATTGATCAATCCATAATCTCAATATAATAGATTTGTTTAGATAAAAATGCCTCATTTCTAGGTTACATATTTTTCTGACTTGTTCAACAGTAAAACATACAAAAACAAAACTCCTACCATTTTATCAAGTGAATTTTCTAGAATTTAAATAACTGTAATATTTTCGGTAATTTATTCATTTGGCACGTCAATAAATTATTAAGACAATAAAACAAAGGCGTTAACTGACTCATGTGATCTCATAAATACAGATCACGATAAATCATTACAAGATTTACTAGTGATCTCTCCCGAAAAATTTTGACACTACATGTTATATTAGTAAACCCGGAAATGCTTACTTAAATTTCAGTTGCCAAAAACGTACAACAAAAGTCAATAATTCAATAAGTTATAACTTTTCATAACACTGAAACAAATGTAAAATACCTTGAAATTAATTCTATTCACTTTTTTTTGTCCTGAAACAAATTAATACCTATGACAGAACCATTTCTTGGACAAGGAAATAGTTTTCACGGTGTTGGTGGTCGAAATAGTAAACGAGCACAATTACGCTATTCATTGCGATTGGTAAGATGTCTCATTGAATCCAATGATGAACGTATCATTACGGTGAGTTATTTTTAGAATAAAAGTATTATATTCAATGTTATATTGGAAAATGTTGGCTGTATCGATGGCCTTGATTGGACCAATCAGAACTAGGATAGCACATCACAGATTTTTGCGCAAAATTGAAAACACAGTGAAAGATAGCTGGTATATTACCACGCTCCAGGTGAAAAATAGCAATATTTGGTTTCTGCAATGCCTGAAACAGACTTTTTAAAAATAAAGCGCGGCTATATCATTTAAAAAGCACACATCAATTCTTACACTTTGAGTTTTGTCCAATGAATCATCCATTTATCTCATTCGCATTCTGATTGACTAATAACTGCGATGAATTTCATAAGGTCACTTATTGAATCGTTTAGTACTGTCATTGTAGTATGGCTTCATGGGTGTATTCGTAAAATGAACTGTTTGTGTAATCGATAGTACAATGAATGCATGGTGTAAACATCAGAAAAATAATTGAGACAGAACAATTAGATCATTTGAGGCCAAATTTAAATATAAATTGCTTGATGACGGTAGTTCTTGAAATAGTCTACAGCTGATTTAGAGCACAATTGTCAGAAAACAAATGTTTTGGATTGACTGTCAAACCAACATGATCTTCTCTATTTAACAAAACATTCTTTTACAATACTATCACAACACAGAATATAACTAGATGAACGAAATAGTCATACACTAGTAGCATTTCATAACGGCCGAGCAATTTCAGGAATCCATTGGAGCTAGAAATGTATACCCCTGGATGTCAACTTATTAGGTTAATGGTCAGGCTCTTACCGCAAGACATGAACGCACTGTATTTAGTCATTTATCATAAGATCAGAAGTGTACACTGACAAAGAACCTCATTCTTGAACAAACCACTACTATTACTACTTTAACCAGGGATACCACTCCTAACTCAAGTCTCAAATGGTCAAAAAAATTAAAATTTCGCTATTGTGAAAAAATCATTACACGATATTAGACAAAGAGTAATAAGAGTGGATGATCCCATTTGCATTAAGCTAGGCTGCATCTTTTACTATTCTATGCCATATGATGTATATACCATAAGCCATATTACTTTATACGACTGAAGGTTTCTTCTGAGACTAAAGGTTCATTGTGAACATTGTGGATAGTTTGGCATTACTTCGGCAAGTTTTCCTAATAATCCATATACAAATAGGGTTTGCTGGGTAAACGATTTCATAGATATCTTGCAACATTCCCGAGGGCTATTGTCATTGGGACGCTGTAATGTATATCACTATTGCTAAAAATAATGAGTTCGACAGTCACGTAAGAACAATGGGTCAAACTGGCCTGTTCATGCTGTGCATATTCATTGTCGCGATTATATATATATTGGTGTATATAAATGGTGTGAATGGTCCACCAGGGTTTCAGATACCTATGTGGTGGTTGCGACAAAGGAATAAGCTGTACTGTTAGAGTAGTAGTGTTTACACGTTGACAGTGTTTGGTTCACCTCAAAACCAATGTAAAATTACCCTTACCTATTGAGAGAATAAATTCAGATATACTTGAACCATATCAGTCGACAAAAAATTTACAGTTTCATTGATTAATTCCAATTTCTACAGTGCTTTCCTCATAAAGAAGTGTACTATATTTCTTTGTAGTATAAGTTTTTATTTAATTTCTCTTTATTGGGAAAATCAAACAAACAAACAAATAGGAATTCGTCTGTCAAGGTCTTATTCAATTTCTAGTACCATTAATCTGTCCAATATCATCAAGAGTAAAACTAGAACGACCACATGATGAATTATTTAAATTTGCAAATCAAACATTTCATGAAAAACATCGAGCCAGGGAAACTACTGATCAAACTATCGAAACAGAATATCAACATTATTTAAAACAATCACAAGATTCTATGGAAGAAGATCTGGTAGGATTAGAAATGCAATGTGATATATTACTTATATTATCAAAATTATGCAATAAAGAAGTTGAAAGGTAATTAATTTACAAATATTTTTATCAATAAGTATTATTAGCTTAGGATTTTTCGAAATTGCAAACATTGTCTGATTGTGGTGTAGTATTTTTCGAAAAGCTTTGAATTAGTCATCGAATGCTGAATCTCGATATAATTTGAAGGCTTGATGACCTTGAGATCAATTCATTGTGGTGATAAAGTTATGAGTTTGAACAGATGAGAAGTCTTCTGCTAAAAACAAAACAACCGTACAATTCTTCTGGATATGTGTACCGTATCCTCGAGCATCACTTCAAGTTAGTGGCAACAGCTAGGAACTTAATCTACAGGCGATCAATCTATTTCAAAGATAAAAATTGGTTTTTTAATGTACACATAGCTCAGTCAGTTTTGAATTTTTTACTATTTATGTCAGTACATAATCACAGATATAAGGGGGGACCTAATTATTTTTGCACCATACAAATCACTGAATTTGTGCGTAGGTTCTTATGCCAGCCCGTTGTCCAAACCAAAGTTAACAGTTTTCTCAGTGGTCCCAGCCCTATAATCCTTCATATACTGGTATGATCCACAGTACAGTGGGGCAATGAATGTAAAGAGATGCAGTCACATAGTAGCCGGTGACCAACAATAGGCTCCATCAGGATCCTAGAGCCAATTGGTTTGGAATCAGAATTTCCCAGTTCCTTTGAGTGGTTCCCTCCGTATTTACCATCCCGGTTTAAGCAACGGATTTTTATTTTTCGTCCCCTTAATTTCGTAAACAATACCTCAGCCATAATTGGGCAGTATGTAGGACTCTGAATGGTAGTGGCTACAAAATTATGACTATATATGTACAAATAAGAAGCTGAACCAGTGTTTTCATTGTGTAAATTATCTACTTCGAAAAAATATTTATATTATGTTAGATATATTACTTATTTATTTATTCATCTATCTAATGTCTAGAAAACAAATGATTGGCACAGAAGGAATTAATGCAATTAATCTATTAATAAAACAATTATCAAAACGTTTTGCCATTATTGATTTTGTTCAATATCGATTGATGATTCAATCAAATCAAAATCCAATTGAACATTTATCCAACCAATGGATTATTTTACATCGTGAACCATTAATTAAATTAGCTTATGCATTAATTGAAGCTGTATGGGGTTGTATTATTGGTTCAAATGATTGTGAAGATTATTTCTTGTTAAAAAATGGTGCTACACATTTACTTTATTTATTAGAGGTAATTTCATTTTAATGTATATACATACTATATATATTGAACATTGAATTTGTTATCAAAATATAATTCTTATTTTGTTTATCATATATATTTAAATATAATTGGTAGAAAGCTGGAAGCACTGGACTTTCGTTTAGTCCCAGTATGGGACTCATCAGCCGTACGTAAATAATGTCTTGGATTAAAATTTCATGTCTAGCTAACACTTGCTAACAATAATTATCTTTATTGTTCAAAAAAATAGTTAGTTTTATTTAGATTTCTTTGTTACTTATCTTTTGAGTACATCAATCGATTGGTCAGATGTAACTAATAAGCTGTTGCCTAATTTTCTTATTACTGATCAATCTGATATATAATGATTGAATTAAGTGAGATTTAGTGTGACATTGTGTTTAATTTAAAGTTGAATTGGTTAGCAATAAGTAAAATCAGACTTTAAACCTACAATTTATGAATTATATCAGTAGGTATGAGGTTTAATCAATTAGCCTAAATGACCGCATTTCAACTTGACCGATAGAATTTAATTATCTTCCGAAGAAACAAACATGACATGAATACATGGTAACATGAATAACTTATTGAATAAACAACATTCAAGTTAAACAGTCTATCTGAAGAAAATTAATTGTAAATTTATACACAACAAAAGAGATGAGATATGATTAGTTATGGAGAAGTCTCTTTCTGTTTTTGAAACTCGTGTGTCAACGCATTAGGGAATTAAATAAAATTCATACTTGTTGCATAAGTGAGATAGTTATCTGAACTCAATAAATGAGGGCATAACGAACGGAAAAAATGAAGCGAACGATACCGAGTTCAAATCATGCAGTGAATATCAACCCAGATCCAGGTATATCTAACTAACTAGTCCTAAATAGAATAAAACAACGCGTGTCTTGTATTCCACTACCAACTGCACTTCATCTATTCTATCTATGCCTTGTCTTAATGGTTACATTGAGGATAAACGTAGAATAATTTAGACGGAGTTTTAAAACGATCGGAAAATATCCGGACTTATTACACATAATCTTCTATAGAATCAATGACTAACTGACTGTTGATGGTATCAAAGAAAGTAGAATGTATGTACTTCAAGTGACCTGGCTCTTCTATCGCACACTCAACAACAAATGCAAGAGAAGACGACCAGTGTAGCAGCAGACTCTGCAGCAGTAGGTCTCAACATACATAAAGGAAAAAGCAAAATTCTCCGATGCAACACAACATGCACCAACCCAATCACTCTTCATGGAGATGTTTTGGAGTACGTTAACACCTTTACATATCTGGGCAGCATCATCGACGAGAAAGGTGGATCGGATGCAGATGTGAGGGCGCGGATTGGCAAAGCGAGGGCTGCATTTCTACAGTTGAAAAATATCTGGAACTCCAAACAAATATCAATCAACACCAAAATCAGGATTTTCAATACAAATGTCAAGACAGTTCTACTGTATGAAGCGGAAACTTGGAGAACTACCAAAGCCATCATCCAGAAGATACAAGTGTTTATTAACAGCTGTCTACGCAAAATACTTCGTATTCGTTGGCCAGACACCATCAGCTACAACGAACTGTGGGATAGAACGAACGAGGTTCCAGTGGATGAGGAAATCAGGAAGAAGCGGTGGAAGTGGATAGGACACACACTACGAAAAGCACCTAACTGCGTCACGAGACAAGCCCTCACATGGAACCTTCAAGGCAAAAGGAAAATAGGAAGGCCAAGGAACACATTACGCCGAGAAATAGAGAAAGATATGAGAGGAATGAACAAACATTGGACAGAACTGGAGAGGGAAGCCCAGGACAGAGTTGGTTGGAGAAAACTGGTGAGCGGCCTGTGCTCCATTTGGGGGTAACAGGCGTAAGTAAGTAAGTAAGTAATGTACTTCAAGTATTAAAGACATAGGCTTTACATTAGATGCCACACCCCTTCATTAGATACGTAGTTTCTTTCCGAGAAAATATGTAAGGAAACAGTTGTCATCTTTATTTCTTATTTGTACAATTTGAAAGGATAATTTAGTTTTCTGAATAACTTACTCCTTCATTTTGAAAAGCATACTTATTAAAATTTCTGAAAAGCATAAGTACCAGGTTTGAACTGGTTTAACTGGTTTTGTACAGGATGTGGTTGTTAACCCTATACCTAGCCCTACTCTTTTATCCGGGATTGTGACAGATAGCAGCTCCAGAATAAATGATTCAAACCATTTCAACTCTGCCGTGTGAGTTAGAAGGTCTTCATTCAGAAGAGTTATGATGTCTCATGATAAAAGCCATGTTCCTTCGAAATTTACGCGGCCAATGCCCCTTCTGACAACCTGCGTAACGATTAATTTAATAGTTGTCCACGCAAAATACTGAGGATCATTTAACCGGACAATATCAACAACAGCCTACTGTGGGAGAGAACAAACTAGATCACAATTGAGGAAGAAATCAGGAAGAAGCTCTGTAAGTGGATAAGACATACATTGAGGAAATTATCCAGCTGCGTCACATGACAAGCCCTCACTTGGAACTCTAAGGGCCAAAGAAGAAGAGGAACATCAAGCAACGCATTACGCCAAGAAAGAAAACAGACAAGATAAGAACTTACGAAAATCGGACAGAACTAGAAATAAAGGACTAGGACAGAGTAGGTCGGGAAATGCTGGTCGGCGACTTATGCTCCACTGAAGGAAACAGGCGTAAGGAAGTAGGTAATAAGTACCGGGGCTTGACATACTAATCGGTAAATCCTGTTTCTGTCCAATAAAAACTGTAGTAGTTACAAATAGACCAGTATTCAAGTCACGAAGGAGGAAGTCGACAACTTGAAAGGATTGTACTGTACGATACAATAATATACAAAGTAATCATTATCACACAAACGCATCGCACTTCCCCACTGGAGACATGTTTGAGTTGACTAACTGTATCTGTATCCAAGCAGCAGTTTCGGAAAAGTCACAACTAGATCTTGTTGTTTAATTCTATGTCACACGAAATCTTAGCCAGTCAGGGTTTCCTGTTGATTATATTAAACCAAATAATATCTCAACATAATGCACGCGATATCAAATCCCTTATACCAGTGGATGGTAGACGCCCAGTGCCCTTCTGTGCTTACTGCTGATCCCAAGCTCGGATAAAGGGGGAGGGTTAGGCATGGGATTAGCAACTCCATCCCGTAAAAATCCAACTGGCTAAAATACATTAACCAGAAAAAATAATCCACTGGTCGACGGCCCATGTGCTCCATTAGGGGTAACAGGGGTAAGTAGGTAAGTAAGTAAGACAGATTTCCACCAAAACTAAAAAGGAACTTATAAACATGGCATTATTCACTAATCACTTATGAGTTAATTGTAGATCATTGTTTTTCTAATAATCTTTTAAACTTTTGAATTAATCTAACTAATATTTAAACTCTCCTCTATCATACATACTTTTTCTTGTGTCTGTCTGTTCAAAGTGGTATCCACTTGAATCAATCAATCAACTCTTAGGTTGTTTAGTAGATTTAACAGAAAATCCTAAATGTTTACCATATTTATCGTGTTGGTCAGGAATTCATCCATTGAATAATGATGATGAAGATGGCGAGGAAGAGAATCGTTTGGCATTGAATTACCACCCTAATATGAACCATAACAACCGAATGAAACAACAATTAAGTCATTTAGAATTAACCACTTCATTATTGATTAAATCACCTGATCTTGCTGTATCGACTAGATTGCATAAAATTATTGCAAACACTAACAAACATACTATTACTCATAGAGATAATAATGATAATAATAATAATAATCAAGTACACTCGAGTATGTCAAATGATCAAGATATAAAATCTCTAGATACATTTAAACAAAACTCCATTAATCCTTGTAAAACAGACGAAGTTGATCCTGATGCTGCTGATGCTGCTGCTGACGATGATGATGATGCTGATGCTGAAGATGATGAAGAGGAATCTGTTAATATTTGGTTAAATGGACCTGGTTTAGCGCAATTACTTTGTTACATATGGAGATGGGATGAGAAACGATTGAAACAGATTGAAAGTCAACAAAAACAATGTCGTAAGTTGAAAAAAAAGTGAATATTATTCAATGTACTACAATAAATTGTTATTTTTGTTATTGAAAAAACCCGTTCATGTTTGTATACACTTCAAGATTTGAGTAATAATAATGGAAAATTGAACAATTAAGTTTCATTCATACTACGATCTAAAAAGCTTTGCCTCAATAAATATCCAGTACAAATGAATTCAGTAGGATTTCGAACTGTTCTGTTTACCATAAGAAGAATGACCTTGCAAAAATTGTCAAGCATGCTACGTACATAGATTGTTCCTAAAATTGGATTCTGAATTGATTTCCTAGATAACTCCGCCTATCGAGCCTTCGGGGCTACTGCTGATTCCAAGCCCGGGTAAAGGAGAAGAGATGAGATGTGGGTTGGCGACCTCATCCTCGAAAAAACTTACTCGCCATAAAAACGCTAACAAGAAAAGATAATTCAAACCATATAAACTCTACTCTAGGAGTTAGATGGTCTTCATTTAGAAGAATTATGACGTTTCATGATGAAAGCTGAGTTCCTTCGGGAGTCATGAGGCCGATGAGCCTTCTGATAACCAGAACCCTTCCACAGTGTGGGCAGTCGGCAACTTACATCCTCCCTCATACGCATAAAAGCACACGAGACCAAATTGATCACAATCAAAATTGATTGTGATTGATTTCGTAGAGAGAAATAGAGAGAGAGAGAGTGTGTGTGTGTGTGTGTGATTAACGACCTAATTGAAAAGGTAAAAAAGCAACTGATAATTAATTCCCAAATGAAGTTTACTCTCAAAAACTAAAAAGTGGTTTTAAAAAGACGTTACCTTTAAGTTCTAACCCAAGAAAGTGTTAAAAGACTGTAACTGAATCGATCATTAATAAAAATGAGGACACGACACATAGGACATTAGTCATTACTCAATGGTCAATCAATATCTCATTCCTATGGGAGGTCAGCTAATATCAGGATAGCTTACTGCTAATGGTTTTTTTTTCAACTACACCTTGCTGACTCTAGTGTTTGATGGCAGTTGAGCAGTGTTGCTAATTGATCAGTCACTGTCAAACACAATTTTATCATATCAGTTTTCAGGAGATTTTTTTCTTTAAAAAACATATCAAATAGGATACGTTTACAGCTTTGCTAATTATTTGTCCTCAAGAAATGATAACAGTAATGATAATAATATGATCGATAGTTAGAACCGAATCACTAATTAACATGTTACTATTCGTTTAGCAGTTAACTTCAACTTGTTCATTAAAATTGGTACAAATCTAATATATTTTATTCAGTTATATGTACAAATGAAATACATATTATCCTTAGCTTTATAGTGGCCTTAAACTATTATTATTACTAATCATTCATTTATTTGTGTTGGTTGTTACAATCATCCTGTTGATATTTAGGACTGCAATTGATCAGAAGTGAATATCTAATATGCTTGTAACCGAAAGTCAGTATTGCGGTAATCTGCAGAGGATTCACATATCTCAAAGAGACTGATCAATTGAAGTCCTAACTGTCAATGGAATGATTCAAACAGCCTATACAAATGAATTATTCTTCATCTTATTGCATTGGTGAGTATCTGCTATCTGGACTCAGTAGCTAAGTGGATTAAGCAATGAC